GATACATGCTAGGAAAAAAAGAAGAAGAAGAACGAGTAATTTTAAGTTAGATACTGATATTATGTTGCTACTTTTGTCGACCATTTCAAGGATTCAATATTTCGCACTGCAGATACCACACCAAATAAGAAAACCAGCTACTAGACTTGGACATGAATACATACAAAAAGCATTGGTCGAGGAGGATCGCGACACTTTTCGACGTTTGTATCGCAATATCCAGAAGTATTTTTTGAAACTGTGCTCTATTTTCAGATTGGAGATGGGTTTAAAAGACACAAGATATGTTTCAGTTGAAGAAATGCTTGCCACATTTTTGTTCATTGTTGGGAAAAATTCAAGGTACATTCAATTAGAAGATAGATTCCAGAGATCAAGATTCTCAACAAGTACGAGCTTTAACACAATTCTTACGGTGTTAAAAGCATTTGCTCCGAAGTATATGGCTAAACCCGGGCTTGGAGTGCCTACAAAAATAAAAGACAGCACACAATTTTATCCTTATTTTAAGGTATGAGATTGTTTTCTTGTGCTTGTTTTCTAGTATTTCGGAAAGCTATACGGCTAATCTTATGTTTCTATTTTTCTTAGGACTGTGCGGGGGCTATTGATGGAACTCATATCCTTGCAATGATAACATGACAAGACTCGGCTAGCTACCGTAATCGTAAAGGACAATTATCGCAAAATGTGTTGGTTGCGTGTAATTTTGATTTAGAATTTACATATGTTCTTAGCGGTTGGGAAGGTTCAGCTCACGACGCAAAGATACTAAATGATGCTTTAACAGGAAACACAAACAAATTAATAGTTCCGGAAGGTACGTCACAACATTATGATGAAAACAATAGTCTTTGTTATCTTGTTATTCATTTTAAATTTATATATCTTACTTATATTTGTATGCTTTTTATATTCTAGGAAAATTTTATTTAGTTGATTGTGGATTCGCCAATCGTCATCAATTTTTAGCTCCATTTCGAAGTATTCGCTATCATCTCCAAGATTTTAGGGGACAAGGAAAAGATCCATTAAATGCAAATGAGTTGTTTAACCATCGTCACTCTAGCTTGTGAAACGTAATAGAAAGGATTTTTGGCATATTCAAGTCAAGATTTCTCATCTTTAAATCTGCACCACCCTTTCCATATAAGACGCAAGTAGAGTTAGTACTTGCTTGTGTTGTTTTACATAATTATCTTCGTAGAGAATGTCGTTCAGACTTGTTTCTTCCGGAATAGGATGGGAATAATGAGGAAGAAACTGATGTTGATGAAAAATATGATGATGGGAATAATGAGGAAGAACAGCTTCATGGTACTCAAGAACAACAAAGAGTGCTTGCTAATAACTGGAGAGCAACTATAGCGGCAACCATGTGGACATATGCTATGAATATGGGGTCATGATTCATTACTATTACTGTGCTTTTTATATTAGATTGTTTCTATTTTTCTGTTGAGATTTTTTTTTTTTTTTTTATCCAATACTTTCTACTAAGAATGCTGTCTCCTTTGGCTACAATGCCTATTTTTCTCTTAAAACTACCAAAGTGTGCAAGAAGCGTAGGTAAATGTGATTCTTCAATGATGTTTTCTTTGTCAACAACTTGATCCAGTTCTTTTCGGATCTTGTTTAACAATTGAGGCATGGTTACGAACTTACGATCTCTACTCTATCTCTACCATGGCGAATTCGGATGCGTTAACCGACACCACCAAAAACCATATCCATGAGGAGAGACTTCACATGAGTCATGACATATGAGCTTTATCATCATCGTCTTATAAGATACAAACGTCGTCGAGTTCAAATGTTAATCCTCTTGACGTACGACTTCATATACAAGTTTCTATCTCTTTCTTTTTAATAAAGTTATCAACGTTAAATTATCCATAAGTATCCTAAAGTCACTTAAAATTTTTAATAATCAAATCTCACCAAATCACAAGTTATTTTCTTTTTAAATCTCTAACAAATAACCCAAAATTCTACAATCTACACTCAAATCTCTCAAAATTCTAAAATATTAAAATATCACCAAATCTCCTAAAATATGCAGTTCAATACACCCCCTAATTTACCTTGTCTATCGAATTTATATCATCTGATTTCGTTGTAGGTAATTAATGGACTAGTTTCATCAATGTACAGTTCTAATGAAATATTTAAATTTATATATTTTCTTACTTATTGTACATAATGGAATATTCTACAAAAGTTGTTCTCAGAATTCTTCAATGTAAATCTCAATAGACTAGATCTACTGCACCTAACATGTCCATCAACACAGTTGTCCATATGTTTTACTACTTTCTATTTGTATTTTTCCTTCACCAGTTTAGGAAAGCTTATACAATATTTGTGGAAGTACAATAACCAACTCACCCCGCGTCAGAAGACACGCAGTGGAGAAGTCCCTTGGAACCGTCAAAGTAAGCTTTCAATGGACCAGATCTACTTCATATATTTTGTCCATCATATAAAACTCTAGAGGACCAAACTCCTAGTCTCAATACCCAAACAAGTTAAACAGCAAAGTTGTCCACACGTTAGAGGACACGCAGCAGAGTTATCCCTTGGAATCTGTCAAAGTAAGTTTTTGATGGATTAGATCTACTTTATATATTTTATCTATCATATATTACTTACTTGTCCACCAATTTTGACATCATTTTATAGATTTTTTTATCGACGATAGTGCACACATCGATAGGCAAGTGGACATCTCTACACATCCAAGCTTATTTATCTGATGGACAACTCATATAAAATCTCTATGTTACTTGTCCTCCATTAACACATCTCATATCTTATTTTTGCTTTTAGTTTTAGTTTTAATTTATTTTATAAATCAAATATCCTTTGGGTATTAGCCTACATTGCTCCATTTAATGCTCTCTTTGACTGCCACAAAATATGTCACATCTGCTACAGTTTTCCTTAAATCCAGTGCACATCTTTCAATTTGACAGTGGGTAGTTTTGTCATTTTGCCTCATATTCTTTAAATATATATGGCATTGCATAAAACACATAGGTGAAAGTGGCACTTACAATTTTTTGAATTAAATAAATGGCATAACATATAATAATCTCTTTTTAGAACACTTAAGAGTTCCATACGTGTCATATTTCCATTGCATAAACGAATAGGAAACAAGGACTTTGTTTCTCTTTCATGATAATCTCTTCGTCGCAAGTCTTTCACTTTCTCTTTCTCTTGGCGAAATCAGAAGCTGGATCAGCGATGGCGAAATTTGAGGAGAAAGAGATTTTTCATCTCTAACCTTCGTAACAAGAATCTTCAAACCCGAATTTTGATGTTCTCGGATTCGAAGAAATTTAATTTCGTATTCTTTTCTAGTTATGGCCAAGATTGATCAATCGTGTTGGGTTACAACAACGCAACTATGAATTCGGTGTATAACACAAATCTTATTTGCTTTTTTTTTTTTAATATGAGAATTTGATATTTGTTTAGTTATGAGTAGTGATGTTATCATGGAGAGATTTTAGTTGGACATAAACAGGCCTTCATAAAAATTTAAGTCCATTTAATGTTTGTGTCCGCTTAATTAAAAATTATCTAAAATAAATGAACAAACTCGTTTACGTCCGTTTGATAAACGGGCTTTCACAAGATTAGATAGAAAATTCATAAAACATCAGTTAAAACCAAAACGGTGTCGTTTGAACTAATTCCTAAACCTAATAATATTCTTTCTTCTTCAATTCTTCCTCTCATCGATTTGGACCTTAATCTCAATCCTCGTCTTCGTCGTGGTTAACTTCTCCGGCAGCTCATCCTTTGTATGTGCCTCTGCCAAGAACCCCATATCGATCTTCACGCTCTTCACGTCCCCGAAAGGTAGCCGCAAATTGGCGGTTGCGATCGCCGAGCTGCTAATGTCGACATCGATTTCAAAATAGTTAGGACCTCTGTGGTAATTGCATTAAAAAGGACCTCTTCTTCTAGATCTGCTTTTGCAGTAGTCCCTCTCTCTCTCACTCAAGTTCCATTCCTCCTCTTCTTCTCCCATAATCTAACTGTTTTAGACTTTTTGATTTCATATTCTTGATCTGAAGGTAATGAATTGGTCGTGGGTGTTTGTTAGATTTGATTGTTAGTTGAATGGAGTGTGAAGAGTAAAAATTGAACATTTACTCTCTACTCTTAGATTTAATTTGTTACATCAATGCTTCTGTTTTTTTGTCAACCATTTTTGTTATTTCCAAATCGGAAAATTACATGGGCATCAGAGTCCAAACATATAAAACAAGTAAGCCCAAATAGGCCCAATTTAAGTGTCACATCAATGCTTTCTTGTGTCGTATATTTAGGGATGTTAAGAGTGGGCTAAAACCTGACAATAGAAACGACATCGTTCTATCAAAAAACCAAACTAAACCTATTCGGTGAAAAATCTTTCTTCTTCTTCCCCTCGACTCCGACATCGATTCTACTGCTGCCATTGAAACCCATTGCTGCTTCGTCCACCATTGTTGCTTCGTCCACCATTGTTGCTTCGTCGGCCATTGTCCGCTATTGCTGCTTCGTCTTCCCTTGTGTTCGATCCCGAAGACAAACACTTCTGTTGTTTGCATATGAGTCTTCTTTGTCCGCCATTGTTGGCCACGAATTGAGCTTTATATCATCTATCTCGAAGTAGGTTTTACGAATTTTGGTTAGTCTTCTTCTAAAATTCTATTTTGGATTCAAACTCTTTCGTTGTTGCATTTTGGGATTATGAGAATTCGATTTTGGCTTTTCGTTGCTGTTATAATAGTGAAAGCTGATACAAATCTCTGAGTTTTTTTGGTTAATGTAACGCTTAGCTTTTAGGAAAATTAGCAGATAAGACTAGGAGTAGCTCTATTATTACGGTAATGGAGTTTCTTTATGGTACTAAAGTGTCAGATTTAGACTTGTTTCTTGGTAATTAGGTTCACTGTGAGACTTTTAAGCTTGGATACATTTGGTTTCGTTTTGCTTTAGTTCTGCTGCTATTGATTTACAATGTTGAGGTCTTTAGAATAGGGTTTACAAATGCTGTTAATCTTTGGTTTATGCTGAGACAGCTAGAAGAAACATAGACAGCTTTGTTTTCTGGAATCAGTTACGTTAAGTGTGTTTCGTTTTGGTGAGAGATCATAGCAGAACGTCGACGTGTATTGCCTTGGTACATGTTTGTCATTTTGTTTTCATTTCCCTCAGATCTGTATGAATAGAGAGACAATGTCTTTTGTGTTAGTTATGTATTCTTCTTTCTTAGAGTGAATTTTCTCAGAATTTTGAGCTCATCTTTGGGTTTTTTTTAGATTTCTCTTTAGTATAATGTATATGAGCTTTATGTGTATAATGTACAAAACCAAAGGCTTGTTTTTATGTGTTTTTTTTTGTGTTCTAAAAATACATAAGTAATGATGGAGTTTGCTTACGGAGCTTGGACACAATTGATCTCGTTGTGCTTAGCTGATCTTGATTTTGATGTTTTGGTTTGTTACAGGACAGTGCAGCGATTGTTATAAAGCAGCCAAAGAGATCTGAGGCAACACTTCTCTCCTCTGGTTAGTTCTTTTAAAACCCTTTTCTTTTTGTTAGTTTTATATGTCTTTCTGATGTTTGGTTTAATTAATTAATTTAATGTTTGGTTTTGGTACTTAAGAACTGGTAAACCTTGTTATAAGGAGAACGGCTTGATTAAATTATTTCCCAACTCTTTGTTTTGCTCAACTATATAAAGATGAGGCTGATCCTCCTGCAATGAATCAAACCTTAATGCATTTGACCTCTCGTACCATTTCTTTACAATTTCCTCAATATGGTTTCTGAAATTGGAATGAGTTATGTGTAATACTGTTTCTGTATTTGTATTCTCTGATCTAAGGCTTTCTCTACTACTCTAGTAGATAACATGTTACATGTTTCAGATTCTAGTCATGTTATTGGGAGTTCTTGTTTGCATCTCTTGTTTGCTTTCTTTTATAATTGGGAGTTAATTTGATTTTAGTAATCGGGTTTCTAGTTTTGTTTTAGGGTTCAATTGTGTAGCTGTTGATGTTGATTCTTATTGTTAAATTCGTCTTCATCATGATTTTAAGTTTCTTGCGTGGTAGTTTTGTTTGTTGATGTGCTGGTTGTATTATGTTTGTTGTTGTGGCATTTTAAGATACTGAGTTTGTATTATGTTTTATTGTTGTGTGAATGTAGCCGTGTGTGCGGGAACTCCCATTTTAAGAAGTCTTGTACATGAGCTTCTTCTTCTTCTCTTACGTCATCAATGGAAGCTTCTGTACCAGATGAGGTGCTTCAGCCGCTGCTACAGGCTTCGGGTTTATCCTACTCTCTAGAAGATTGCTTGAAGTTTCTTCAAGAGTCTTCCAAGACCGATTCAGGCCGCTCTGATCTCGCTTCCAAGGCTATCCTTCCTTATATCCTTCGTCTTCTTCAGATTCTTCCTTACCCATCTTCCCGCCACTATCTCAATCTTTCTCTGAAAGTCCTCCGAAACCTCTGCGCCGGCGAGGTTTCGAATCAAAACTCTTTCGTCGACCACGACGGTTCAGTTATTGTCTCGGACTTGCTTGATTCCGCTATTGCAGAGAAAACCGCGGATTTCGAGACTGTTCGGTTCGGGTTGCAGGCTCTAGCGAACGTCGTATTGTTCTGCGAGAAACGTCAGAGAGATGTGTGGATGCGATTTTTCCCGGAGAGGTTCTTCTCAATCGCTAAGATTAGGCGGTTTGAAACCTGTGATCCTCTGTGTATGATTTTGTATGCTTGCTTTGATGGAAGCTCGGAGATTGCTTCAGAGGTTTGCAGCAGTGATGGCCTCAGCATCGTCGCTGAGGCTATACGGACTTCATCTTCCGGTAAATTACTTTTTGTCATTTTTGAAAACCCAAATCTTGTCTGATTCGAAAAAAAGAAAAAAAACCAAATCTTTGTTATTTGTTGTAGTTGGGTCTGTGGAGGATTATTGGCTCAAGTTAATGGTATCAAGAATGTGTGTTGAAGACCATTGTTTCCCTCAGCTCTTCTCCAAGTTATACAAAGTTGATTTGGTTCTTGGTCACAAGGATGACGAAGATGAGACGTTTTTTACATCAGAGCAAGCCTTTCTTCTAAGGATGGTGTCTGATATTGCAAATGAGCGGATAGGAAAAGTGTCAATCCCCAAGGATACAACTTCTTCCATTCTGGGATTATTCAAGCAATCTGTTGCAGTTTTTGATTTTGCGTCTAGCCAAAGATCCGAGCTTCCTACGGGTTCAACTATAGTAGACGTAATGGGTTACTCTCTCGTAATAATAAGGGATGCTTGCGCTGGAGGAAGCCTTGAAGAGCTCAAGAATGACAACAAGGATTCAGTTGATACTGTTGAATTGCTCTTGTCCTCTGGACTAATACATCTCCTCCTTGATCTTCTTCGCAAACTTGATCCTCCAACAACAATTAAGAAGGCTCTAAACCAGAGTCCTAGTTCTTCTTCTTCTTCATTAAAACCCTGTCCATACAGAGGATTCAGGAGAGATATTGTGTCTGTGATTGGGAACTGTGCGTACAGAAGGAAAGAGGTACAAGATGAGATCAGGGAGAGAGATGGGCTCTTCCTAATGTTGCAACAGTGTGTGACTGATGATGAGAACCCTTTTTTGAGAGAATGGGGCTTGTGGTGTGTGAGAAATCTGCTGGAAGGGAACCCGGAGAACCAAGAAGTGGTTGCTGATTTGGAGATTCAAGGATCAGTTGATGTGCCTCAACTCCGCGAAATTGGTCTCAGAGTTGAAATTGATCCTAAAACATCCAGGCCAAAGCTCGTCAATGACACCTGAAGTTTCAAAGCCATAGCTGATGTAATCTCTACATGTGTGTTGCATGATAATCTTATTCTAGTTAGAATTAGGATTATACGTGGTTTCTTCGTTCACCAAAGTATCATGTATTATTTGCTGATGTAGTTTTTTTTCTTGTTCAATTATACAGTGATTACATAAAGGTTAAATCTCAGAGATCTAAACTAAATAATAAGTTGATCAGCTAAAACTAACCGTAATCACAATCGTTTCGTCCTCTTTAGACCATCTCCAACGTATATGTCTATTGTTTTTTTATAAAAAATAAAGCATTGTTTTACCCCAAAGTATTATTTTATTTTTTATTCTAAAATAGAGGTAGTGTAAAGAAATAGAGTAGAGAATAGAGTTGCTTTATATTTAAAGTAATTTTATAATTTACTCTAAGAGCAAGATATAGAATTGGATTGGAGCAAATGTTACTCTAAAATGGAGTTTTGACTCTTAGATAGAGTAGCGTTGGAGATGCCCTTAGATAATCTATCAATCTGTGTTCAAAAAAGGAAAAAAAAATCTATCGATCTCAACATAGATGTTGGCGTTTGCAGATCCATAACAACCAGCGGCGGCGAGTGAGGTTGAATGACTAATTAAATAACATACAAACCGCGGTTATATAAATTTATTTTCTATTTACAAATAAGTTGTGATGGCTCATATGGTTTAACCTGTGGAGCTATAAATTCAAGGTTGAGACTAGTCCTGAGAAAAGCCGAACCGAATGCATTGAACCAAAACTGAGTTGAAAAAAAAAATGAATGGATTTTATACTCAAGATCCAAAAGTATCCGAAACCGAACCAAAACCGAATGGAGATCCGAAATATTTCAAATACAATTATATATTTAAAATATTTGTTATTTTTAGACAAAAAAAAACTAAAAAAATACATGAAAATATAAATATATCCGATAGTCAAACCATTAAACTGAAAAGAAAATCCAAAAAAAACAAATTTCCGAATTGAAGCCGAACCGAAAGAATATTAAAAATATCAAAAATATCCAAAAATTTCTGAAATATCACAACATATCCGAATTTCTTCGATTAAACCAAACCAAAAAATAATCCAAAAATATTAGATTACTAGATTAGTTTTTTGTTCAAGATCCGAAACCAAACCAAAACCGAAAGAAACCGAACCGAAACCGAACCGAAATTCCGAAAAAACCGAATGTATCTTATAATCAAGATTTGAAAGTATCCGAAACCGAATTATCCAAATCGAAACGGCGTCCTTTAAATCAAAACACTAAACCTAAACATCCTTCTTCTTCAGTTCTTCCCCTCATCGATTTTGATTCTGAGTTTCCGACATTGAATCAGTGAGTTCTTCTCAAAGTCATCGATTTCACTCGATTCCACAAGCTGCTTCGTCTGCCACTGTATTCGATTCTCAAGTCAAAACACAAACTCATCGAATCTGTATGTGTTCCTTTGCAAATTTGATATTTTGATTTCATATTCTGAATCAGAAGGTATGAATTGGTAGTGGGTGTTTCTTAGATTTGATTGTAAGTTGAATGGAGCGTGAAGATTGAAGATTGAACATTTACTCTCTACTCTTGGAATTGAGAATTGAGAATTGGGGATATGTGAACAAAATGGTTCAATAGATTCTTTGAATTGGTTGCTTGTCCTAGTTTATCATCTTAAACGAGATTGGTTGGTTTAGAAAATAGTATTGTCACAGGTTTCGTTTCTTGTGCTCTGAAATTTCATGGATATGTGTTCTTCTTTGAAGGTGTTGTTGTTTCATGACTTGTTTTGCTTTGATTCACATTCTGTAAACACTACACATGTGTTGTTCTTTGGTCATTACTACTCTAAACTGTTGCATTTTTTTTGCTCTAGTGTAGATCCTGATCTGGAACTTTCTTTACTCTGTCTCTGTGCTCACAAAGTTGCAATCTTTGGGGAGATCTGAGGCAACCCTTTTCTCCTCTGGTTAGTTCTTTTAAAACCCTTTTCTTGTTGTTAGTTTTATATGTCTTTCTGATGTTTGGTTTAATTAATTAATTTAATGTTTGGTTTTGGTACTTAAGTACTGGTAAGCCTTGTTATAAGCAGAACCTCTTGATTAATTTATTCGCCATCTCTTTGTTTTGCTCAACTATATAAAGATGAGGCTGATCCTCCTGCAATGAATCTAACCTTGATGCATTTGACTTCATGTACCATTTCTTTACAATTTCCTCAATATGGTTTCTGAAATTGGAATGAGTTATGTGTAATGCTGTATCTGTTTTTGTATTCTCTGATCTAAGGCTTTCTCTACTACTCACATGTTACATGTTTCAGATTCTAATCATGTTTTGGGAGTTCTTGTTTCAGATTTGTAGTGATGATGAAACTGTTTGCATCTCTTATTTGCTCTCTTTTATAATCGGGAGTGAATTGGCTTTTGGTAATCTGGTTTCTAGTTTTGTTTTAGGGTTCAATTGTCAGCTGTTGATGTTGATTCTTATTGTTCAATTCGTCTTCATCATGATTTCGAGTTTCTTGTGTTGTAGTTTTGTTTGTTGATATGCTGGTTATATATATAGGACCAGACGGCAAATAAGATTTCTTTGTTTGCATTTCTGCTTTAGTGTTTTGATATATCAGTGGTTAATATATTAGTTCTCTCTATGTAGTTAGTTTATATTGACAAGAAGAAAAGAATGTGTGGACAAATACTAATAACTAAATTACATCATTCAGAAAGATATTTTTAAAACCTTCCAAACCTTTCGAAAACCCTTTTATCTCTCTCTTTCTGCAAGATGGATTTCTCACATTCCTCTTTTGTTTTATCGGAAAGTAACCCAAAATGGCATCATCGGCGCCACAGGGATCTGTTGATCCACTTACCGCGAAAGACCCGGCGAAGGCGTTAACTGCCGTAGCTTCTGGATTCATTGAGAATGTGAAGAGAAACAGGCAAAGCTTCTTCCAGTTCTTCGCCATGACTGGAATTTTGCTTCTGAGCTTCCGATCGGTAAGTCAGAAGTACCGAATCCACGATCTGGAGGAAGACACGGCTGTTCTCAAGAAGGAGCATGAGAGTTTGACGGATCGTATGAATAAAATTAAGAGCGATCTTCTTCATCAAGCTTCGATTGACTCGACCGGCGTCTTTGCTTCTCGTATCCGTCTACTGTTCGGTGACGATAAGAAGTGATTAGAGAATTTTGATTGATTTAAGGTCAACGAGGTTATGAATTAAGTGTTAGTAGTAGTGGGAATAAGGTCCAGGAGTAGTTGAGTTGTGTTATTTGTTTCGTGTTGTTAAACTCCGAGGCAGTTCAGTTCTTGTATTTTGGCTATTTAAACGCCTTTGAAGATAATGAGATCGATAGAGTTTTCAGTCTCAACATTCAGTTTCTATTCTCTTTTTCAGACTTTCAATATATTGGTATATGAGCAAAGTTGAGTTGTGAGAATTTATTGGATTATTATCGAAGCTCCTCCTTTTTGAAATTTTCCATTTGACTCCCCACTGAAAAATCGATACTTAGGCTTCCAAATTCTAGTTTAGCGAATGTGGTCTCTGAATTTTTCTTGTGGTTTTGGCTTGACACGATGTTACAATGTGTTCTTTTAGCAGAGAAATGGAAACAAGAAACCAAGTGAAGAAGAAAATTTTCGAAATTTTCAAAGAATTTATGATGGGGTAAAAAGTTGTTTTGCTTTGGTTTCTCTTACTTATATTGTGCTTTCGATTTCAGATACGTGCTATTTTAGCACCTCTGAATCTTGAATCTAATAATCTTGGTTATTGTGATTTGATAATTAGAATCGCAGAGCTTGAAGAACTAGGCAATGCTGCAAACTCCTTTCTTCTACGGTTTCAGCAAGCACTCAGTACGTTTTCTTTTGTATAATCTCCACTGTGAATTTGCAAATTTGCAATCTTTATATGACATTGTTTCTTATGACATTTACTATTCTTTCAGGTTTTCTTCAACGCCCTCCAATGGTTACTTCGTCTCACAGATGAAACAGCCCTTGCAATTGAGACTGCAACAAAGTTTTCCATACAGCTAGATAAAGACACAAGCGATGAAGAATTGCGACAAGCAACATGCGATGAGGTAAGATGTCAACAGAATCTGTCCTCGGGCAAACTAACTTTGAAAACGGTTTCAGAGAATAATAATGAAGTTTGGATGTATTTGTTTCAGGAGAACGAGACTGTACATTTCTCTCAAGAACACGAAGTTACAGAGTACGCTACACTTATTGCAGTAGTTTACAGTATGATGAAGCAGAACTATGTGATGCAGGTGTGCACTTTAAACCCTTCTTCTTCTAATGCTTGATCTTCAAAACCTTAAAACTCAATGAAGAGAAATGTGTCTTCTTCAGGAAAAGATTGTGCGATCGCTTAGTTTGAAGTCATCATCTGGTGAGCTAGAGACTTACAGTCTGATGTGGTCCTTGCGTCCGTTCGTAGAAGATGAGATTGTGAACAGAGCATGGAAATGGATTTACTAAAATTTTTTTAACTCTTCTCATCTAATTTTGTTTGATAAGTATACAGTCTCTAGGTATCTCTTAACAATTGATATGCCATGTGCTAATGATTAGTAAAATGTTAACTTGTTTCCCTCTTTCTAAAATGGTTCAAGTAAATGTTAAATGTTTTAAGTTTCTAATAGTAATAATGTAATTATTTTGTTACTATAGCATAGTATACGCTTTGTTGAATGTTGAGTAAAAGACCAAGATTATATGATAAAATAAATCATACAACCTTATTTACATTTCTCAAGTTAATTATTAGTAGCTAAACCTTTGTATATTTTCACTTGCAAGCATTGTATAAGCATTTGACGTTTCCGAATGAGTATCATACACAAGTTCTATAGTGCCAATAATAAGTGGAGAAGTCACTACTATTACTTAAGATGCAATTATATAGTATTGAAGATGTATAATGGCTTTGATTGATAACACTAATCTTTACTTTTGTTGTTTTTGTATAATGGCTTAAAAAGAAATTATTTTTGTTGTTTTTCTTATACTAATGTTTTTACTATTGAACCGCTTATTAGCAATCATAACACTATTATTTAACCGCTTGTTTTAGTTTAACAAATTTTTTCTCTTCCAATTTTTGAACTGTTTTTTCTTTAACCGCTTTCTCTACAACCGAAAGAAATTAATCGCTTTGAATGATTTTTATCAAATTGAATGATTTTTATCAAGTGCTAATAACTCAATTGGTAAAAAATCTCTGACAAAAGCTTAGAGGTCGTCGGTTCGAGTATCACTTGAAACAAGACCATATAACATGCTTTAGTATCGGGTTTGAGGAGATGTATGAGTTTCTCGCCAGAACCTTTTGGTTATTCAAAAAAAATATTAATAAATCTCGAACGAGGTTAGGTATTGGATTAATATGATATGGGAATCTCTATTATTTGTCCTCTAATAGTTTAACTTTTACGTTAAAGTCATATATATTGCCTGGAGACTTCGAAGCCATCAAAGGGCTCTCTCCACTAAGTTCACTGAACCCAAAAGAAAAAGTAGAAGGTCAGACAAAAAAAAAAAAAAAAACCATGTCAGAAGAGGAAGTGGTGGTGTTGAACTTCTGGCCAAGCATGTTCGGAGCAAGAGTCATCATGGCGTTAGAGGAGAAAGAGATCAAGTTCGAGTACAAAGAAGAAGATGTGTTTGGTCAGAAGACTGATCTATTGCTCCAAACCAATCCGGTCCACAAGAAAATTCCGGTTCTTATCCACAATGGTAAACCGGTTTGCGAGTCCAATAACATACTTGAATACATCGATGAGGTCTGGAAAGATGATAAATCTCTCCAGCTACTACCTTCTGATCCTTATCAGAAGTCACAGTGTAGATTTTTGGCTGATTTAATCGACAAAAAGGTACTATTAATCATCCTAATAATGTCGAAACCGTGAAAATCTATTACTTTAATAATGGATTCAAAACCTTAATGTCGAAACCGTGAAAATCTATTAATTTATAGAGATATTCATTTATTGATTATGATTGTTACTTTCTTGATAGTTTTTTTAGCCTAAATTAACTATTATATATTCTTAATTTCTTTGTTAGTATAGTTAAATGTACATTTTGGTATATATATGTAACTTCTTGCTTCAAAATAACAAATATGATCTACTAAATACTTTATATTACTTGGTACAGTGTATGGATTAATGAATAAAACTAAAATTAGGTTTTTGATGCCGGAAGAAGAACATGGACAAAGAAGGGTAAAGAACAAGAAGAAGCAAAACGAGAGTTCATAGAAATCTTGAAAGTGTTAGAAAGAGAGCTTGGGGATAAGGTCTACTTCGGTGGAAACGACAACGTTTCGATGGTGGACTTGGTCCTTATCTCCTATTACCCTTGGTTCCATACGTGGGAGACAATTGGTGGTTTTAGTGTTGAGGATCATACTCCCAAGCTAATGTGTTGGGTTCGTAAATGTTTGACCCGACCCGCTATCTCGAAATCTTTACCCGACCCGCTTAAGATCCTTGATCGAGTCACTCAGATCATTAAGGTGCACGAGTTCTTCTATGGTTATTGATAATGCTTATAGGAAATGGTTTGCTCTTGAAAAGTTGTATGTTACATTTGATACTAAGTACTTCCCACATTATATTTGAGTTTTTTTTTTTTTTTTTTTTTTTGATAAACCCTATCGGCTGATCCGGTCAGCCTCGGTAGAAATGCACCGAAGTGCTTGAGAGTAGACTTCTCCCCGAAAAGCCACCACACTTTCTATCCCGAGTTTGGAATGCTTTCCGACTAATGCCAGGGGTAGTCAGGCCGCCTGCATTTCTGACTACCAGGTAAACCAACTGGGCCTTGGCCCAATTGACAGACTTCCCACACAACCATGATTTTTGTTTTCAGGGTGGATCGAACCTGGGTTAGTTATATTTGAGTTTTTAAGTTATTTTTATTAGTATTGTTAAGTTCTTATGTTGACGATGTCGATATTTGGATATATCTCGTTAAGAGTCAGAGAGGTGATACTAATGGCATTTATATGATCGTTACGTTATCTTGAAATCATTTGTTACACAATGGAGATTCCTTGTAAGCATTTCATGTACTCAAACACCAAATCATATCATGTAAATTTTAGGGAGTTGTATTCAACCATATCTTTTGAATATTTTGAGGTTGAATAAGTTTTTACATAACTTAAGGTGAATCTAGAGAAATTGTTATAAATTGTAATGAAATCCTCTGAAATTCTAGTTAAAACTATGAGATTTCAATATCTGTATTTATTTTAGTTACCAGAAATCTGGTAAACCACATTTACGGACCTGTTCGATAATGAATCGCAACAACGACGATACGCAACCAAAAAAAATAGCTTTACTTTTTCTTCAATTTTTCCTTAAACTCTTTTTTCCGGTCACTGCGATTTAAATTACATGATTTTGGAGTCGCCGGATTAAATAGCAATACAATCGATGTCATAACTTTGAAGTAGCGGCCGTCGTAGGTTTTGAATCAATTGATTCAGATATGCGGAGAAGACGATGCACATAAAAGTTACAAACATATATATAGAAAAAAACCTTTAGTTAGGAATTTTTAAAATTTAAATTTGTATCCTTTCAAATGTTCATAATAACAATAGATGGTTAGCCCAGAAAAGAGTCGTAGGTAGAGTCGCGCAATTATAAAAAGATTAGAAATATTATTAAAACTATTTGGAGGTATTGTTTTTAAATCACTAGTTCAACAACAATATATTTTGTCGTAAGATTTTTAAAATTATGATTAAATAAACGATATTTGTCATTTCAAATGCTTGATTGAATACACTCTAAAGCTGTAAAAATGAACTCACTTTCATGGGTATCTTAGCTTCAATTCCTCTACTTAGTACTTGCATTTGTTCCCTAGCTATAGTACTATGATTTTTCTTAAACTCTACGGACTTTACGCATTTTATCCGTTTTTATTAGGTTTTTGACTAAGAGTTTATGTAATATTGGTGTTACTAGGCTTAATGATTTCTTTTTCCGTGGGACTAAACTAAATGGTTTGAATCAAACCACATGATCATTAGTCTTCTACCCATTAACCAATATTTTCTTTATACATTTTATGTAGCCTATATAATACAAGTTGTCTACTATTAGCTTTCAACCATCTTCCTCTTTTACTTAACAGTGAGCTATAAAATTGAGCAATAAGAAGAGCGGAAGCAGAGGAGATTCAAACAGCTAGAAACGCGACGCGACTCGGGCTTTACGGGTTTCTGACTGATCGTTTCTTTCTCATTCCTTTTCACATTTTTGGTTTGCTTCTTTTTCTTCTTCGTCTTCTTCTTCTTCTTTAACTTCTCTATCATTTTACTTGCGTATTCCCAAACATGACTGAGAGAACAAGAAACAATACAGAGTATATAGTTGGGTCTCTTGTTTCTTTGAAATGAGTGAATTGGACAATGCCAATATGTTTTTTTTTTGTTTCTTTAGTTCTTCACCAAAACATAGAAGAGCTATAATTCAACCTTATTATACTTTCATTTTATAAAAGACTTTTGACTATATAAAGTGATTTCAGAAAAACTTGTATTATAAAATTTGTTTGCATAAAATATGAGAAAAAAAAACTAGGAAAATGATTAAAGTATATAAACATAAAACCTACAAAATATTTAAATATTTTAGTTTTAAAGTAGAAAAAAAAAAACTAAAGAAGTATTTATATCAATAATCAACATAAAATTGATGTAAATAAAAATCAAAACAAATAAATATAATATTTTTCTAAAAATCATATAAACTATTCTATAGATGTATTATATAAAAATCCAAATATCAAATTCAATAGCTAATGTAATAGTTAAATGGGGAAAAACTTCTAAGTGGTTAAATTAATTTTCTACTTTAGATGATGTGATACTGAGATTCCATCATCAACAGAAGCAAATTTTAAACTTGGATTTTGCCATATTGTGTTAGAATTTTTTTTTCTCCCTCCCATAATTACAGTTGATAAAAATTAGTCCATCTCTAATGAACTGCAATAATTTAGAGAGCACGAAAGTTAAAAAAAAAAGAAAACATAGAACAACATCAAATGGTCAAGAGACTAAAGCAGAGCAAATTATGAGTTCAAACTTCACAGACACATAACAAAACCAAAGAAGCGAATAAGGAAGCAATCAAAGTAAAGAAGAAGCAAACCAAAAAAAATTACGACCAAACAACAAAACAAACAATGAAGCAAATCTTTATCTGTCTGTATCGTTTGTTCAATAAATTGCTTTTCTCAGTTTTAAAGATTTGAAGAAGAAGAACAAAAAAAACAGACTTGGGGATTTTTGAGGGATAAGAAGAATCTCACTTTGCCATCATGACTTTAACGAACTCTTCGTAGTTGATCTGACCATCACCATCGACATCAGCTTCTCTGATCATCTCATCGACTTCCTCATCCGTAAGTTTCTCCCCAAGATTTGTCATCACATGGCGGAGTTCAGCCGCGGAGATGAAACCGTTCTGGTCCTTGTCGAAAACTCTGAATGCTTCCTTAAGCTCCTCTTCTGAATCTGTGTCTTTCATCTTCCGTGCCATAAGGTTAAGGAACTCTGGGAAATCTATTGTCCCGTTCCCGTCTGCATCAACTTCGTTGATCATGTCCTGGAGCTCAGCTTCTGTTGGGTTCTGCCCAAGTGATCTCATCACTGTCCCAAGCTCCTTAGTGGTGATACAACCTGCAAAACCAACCCAATATTGAAGCCAACTTCAGATTTCAGAGTGCAAAAGTTCCAAGCATCAGTTTCTGTGTTCTAATATGGTCAAGATTTAACAAGATCAGGGAGTAGAACAAACCAAATATAACTTCATACAAGTAATGTGTCAATATCCCAAATAACTCCACAACTAAAAAAAATGCTCTTTGTACAGTACTCTTATTCCACTATTCAACAGAATCATATAACTCTATCTATCAGTTTAACAGATGAAGATACCCACAAGCAAAACCGATAGTTCGAAAAAAAGTGTACAAAGTTAACAATGAAACTTCTTGCATACAATCCACCAAGAAACATTTCAAGCCTCATTCTAATCAAAGGCCACAAGATGCACCATGTTCTAAGAATGATGCCAAGACCAATAAGCACCACAAGATATACACCATGCTAAGACTAATGCAAGTTCTCTACTAATGTAATTCACAACAACATAGATGGATACTATATAAACTTCTTCTTCCTTAGACCGATTCGAATAGAAACCATATACAGATCAAATCTAACCTACCTGATTCAATTTGAAATTCAAACTCAAATAACCACTAAATTATGTGAGTAGCCTCATCGTATATATCCAAAATTAGCAAGATTAATCAATCACAGGATTGGTTCAGAATCAGAGCAAATCACAAAAGAAACAACAAGACAACGATCTCCAATGTCACGATTTGAAATCAACAGCCATAAGCAACCCTAGAACGCGTTCGAGATTTGAGCAAACAAGCAAATACTGAAGCTAATCAAAACAGAGATCGTCCTCTAAATCACATTCAATTCAGGATCAGATACAGATTCTAACAAATGCTAAGAACCACGAAAACGACGAAGAAGCAAGAAAAAAAAAAACGAAACGAAGAAGAGATCTGAGATACGAAGAAGAAGAAGAAGAAGAAGAGACCATCTCCGTCCTTGTCGAATAGGCTGAAAGCTTCCTTGAACTCTGAGATCTGGTCATCGGTAAGCTGATCCGCCATTTTTGTTCTTTAGATTTTTTTTTCTCGAGAAAATTTTTGTTAGTTTCTGAGAAAAGTTTGAAGCGCGTGAGAAAGAGTGAAATTGTTTTTCTTTATAAAATGAGAGATTCTTCCACACAGAGAGCTATACAGATAGATATATTTAAATTGACGATTTTGCCCTTCAAAACCACTTTTTAAATTTTGACCAAAAAAAACATTCTGGTTTTTGTTTTTTAGGTTTGCAACTTAATTTTTTTTACTAATTTAGGCCAATTACTAACAACTTATATATCATGAATGAAGTTAACTATATTTTTGATAATCGTAATGCCAATATTTTTTGTTTAAATTTGATTTTATTGTTATAGTATATTTGGTAGTGTGTTAGCAGGGGCGGACTTATGTATATGAAAGGGGAGGTCAACTGACCTGCCCAAATTTCAAAAATCTCTTTTTTATTATAAGCAAAATTTATTTAGTCCATTAAAATTACTTATGCTTGACTTGGGTAGAATTATATGATGGATCTGTTTTAAAAGTTTTTTTTTTTAGGATATTTCTCCAAAAAAATATGACAAAATTTTTTACTATTTTGATTTTTGATATCCACCCGAAGTACTTTAATCGCAACTTTGCTTGGACATTTCAAACCATGATTTTCGAATCGGTTTGGATATAATCAAGACGAATTGATAAATAACCGAACTATTTTTTGTTTGGTTACATTCGAATAATTTTATCCGAATAATGTTATTGTTTAGTTACATGCTAATTTTATTAGAATAACCACACTAACCAAAAAATAACAAAATTCAAATTCTAAATGGTGAAAAATATTTTAAACCATGAACTTTTTTAGTAAAAAAATATTTAAACTATTTGATGAAAATTCAAATTCTAATATGAATTTTTCCTAAAACCATTTAAAATATCAGTTATGTTAATTATCCAGAAAAAGGAAAATTTCCAAATACTCTCTCAAAAAGGAAAATATGTTTTTTTGGGTTATAGATGATTGCAAATACACTGGATTTACTAACTTTTTAATTATATTTTTAAATTTTTGAAGAGAATCGATATTGGTGAATTCTACCAGGTATTTCAAAATACAAGAGGAACGTAGGAACCTACCAGTATGGGTACACAAAAAAGAGTTTATCCAAGCTTTGAATGAAAATCAGATTGTCATACTAGTGGGTGAAACGGGCAGTGGTAAGACAACGCAAATCCCACAGTTCGTTTTAGAAATAATAAATTAACTAAAAAATATATCTTTTAATCTTTATTCATTCACTAATTTTACTAATATTTTTCAATTAAACTTATTCATAGTACGCAATTAAACAATATAAATTATTTTTTTAAGTTAAATTCAAGATAGAAAAATAAAATAGAACTGAAGGCATATAATTTTATTTAAGTAAAATAAAAAACATATAATAAAAATGTGAGAAAATAAAGTAAACATCATAACGTGTACAATCACATATTCAAACTTGTGACCAAGATGTCATACAAGGAGCTTAATTACCAACTGAGCTACAAATTCTACTAAAATATAGCTAATAAGATGAATATTTTGCATTATTAGAAAGAAAGCAAAAACAAATCCGGCGCATTAATGTATATGGCAATGGACGCTCTAAGCATATCAATGACCATGATAGCTTCTGAATCTTCCTTTATTATTTGATCTCATGTGATAGATAAATATCATAGTCAACTTCTTTCTAGTAACGTCCAAGCTTTGTACATGTTTTTGAATTCATAGTTACAAGGTTGATGATGAAGGTAAAAGAATATTATTTATCAATCGATTTACTTTGCTTGGATTCGTTGTAATATCTTCTCATATAAATTGTTGATACAAACGGCGAGATGATTATTATTTGATGGAATCTAATAGCGTTGAAGAAAATTATGTGGAGAAAGAACATTAATTAGTATATTTTCTAGTTAATTGCCTAGTTTTCAGGAGAGCGACATTGTTTACTTGTTTGGTTGGAGTGAGAGAGTCTTATTTTATGGAGCTATTGTGAGTTTAGCAGCTATAGAGAAGAGTTATATGATGAAATTAGTTACATTTTTTAACAAATGCATGTCGCTGCAATTATGTCATTAGAAGAACACTTCTAATTGAAATGGTGAGAAAACTTACTCTAATTAGCTCATTGACTAGTGAAGGAGAAATCTTATGATATTATTATATCTCTCATAATTATTATATATTCTTATGGTAAGATTTAATTTTTTGTTTAGTTATATATCTTGATTTTTATCCAATCAAAATATATTTATGCTTTGTTGCATCTCTATAGGCTATAGTTTTGAAGGTGATATCTATACCCCCAAGTTCTCGACAAAGGACACTTGGAATTTAACTCGGGCTGGAGCTGCTGCGGTCCCATGGTACAAGGGGGTTTGGTTTACTCATGAAACACCAAATTTCTCCTTTTGTGTATGGCTGGCTGTACGCAACAGGCTCTCGACGGGTGATCGGCTTCAGGTTTGGTCTAATGGCTTGACGGGTAGCTGTGATTTCTGCCACAGTGCTCTCGAAACACGAGACCACCTGTTCTTTTCTTGTGTGTTTACATCAGAGGTTTGGGAGGCCACAACGAAGAATATTTATAAATCAAAGTACTCAACAAACTGGCAAGGATTGCTCAATACGGTGAGTGGACATTGGCACAACCGGCTGGAGAGCTTCATGGCGAGGTACTTATTCCACACTGTGATATATACTATCTGGAGAGAACGGAACGGACGTCGCCACGGTGAGGCCCCTAGCACCGCTGCTCGACTCATTGACTCAATAAGCAAACAAATGCGGAATCGTCTCTCCTCGATCAAACACGTGGGAGATAGGCGATATGACGACGGATTGAAACTTTGGTTCGCTTCAAGAGTTTAATTGGCTAAATGTTTTTGGTTTCTAGAAATATCAAAGTTTTTTTAATCTCCCGCTGCACTAGTTGTACAAACGCTATTTTTTCTTGAATATAAATTTAACATTATTTTCAAAAAAAAAAAAATATATATATATATATAGTTTTGAAGTTTAGGGGAGAAAAAAATGCAATTTTTATTTAAATTATAAGAAAATTATTAAATGGATCAACTCATTTATTCCACTAATTCAATAATTAAAATGAGTTATGGATTTATCCAAACTATTTGCTAAATGAATTGGATTGACTCATTCATTATCTATTATATATTATATTTTAAATCTATATGGATATGGAATGATTTGGTTTGGTTTAACCAATAACCAACTTGACATCCCCGGTTTATCATGCATGTTATTGGTCACCAAAAATTCGGAGTTTTTTTTTTTAATTTATTTTATCTTGCTAATTGTCGATTTTTAAAACATCTATTAATTCTTACATAGAAAAAAAATATTTTGTAATTTTATTTTCAGTGAGGTATTATCATTTCTCAAAATCAAAATTTATTAATTAGAGGAAATACCATTTATTAAAAAAATTAGGGGGAATTTCAAAAATAGCCCTTTTCCAATACCACTTTTTAAAAATACCCCTCTTTTTAATTTTATCAAAAAGTCACAATAAAAATTGAAATTTATCAAAAAATATGTATAAACTTATATTTATAGACACAAATTATATTTACATGTGTGTAAATTTATATATATATTTTATAAGTACCGTATAAATACCTTTTAAAAATCATATAAAAAGCTTATAAAAACTGTGTAAACCTTTTAAAAACCTTATAAAAAACATATAAATGCCGTTTAGAACCTTTTAAAACCTTCTAAATATTTGGATTTAGTCTTCCAGTAGTAATGATGATCTTGATGTACCTTATCAATCATATAAAAGTTTATAATTTTTCATATTTGAAAAAGGATATTTTTGAAAATGAATAGAAAGAGGGGTATTTTTAAAAAGGGGTACACCAAAAGGGGTATTTCTCAAAAATTCTCAAAAAATTAAGCAATTTTTAAAATCTCCAATAGATATACATAAGTTTTGAAAGAAAAAAAAATATGACAGTAATTTATTAGGGAAAGTTATATATTTATATCATCAGCTTAAGTATATATAAACCATAAGTCTGAATATACACATAAGTCTGATTATATGAGAAAGAGGAAAAACAAAAAAACGAAAAGTTATAAGTTTGACTCAGTCATGAATTAGGAAATCTAATCTATAATTATGACTTTGTTCTACTCTTTTCTCTTCACTCTGTTTCTCTCTATCTTTTAATCTCTCTCTCTCTCTTATCATCTCTGTAAGGTAAACAAAAAACCCTAATAATGTCGTCAAACGTATCTGATCAGATGAGAAGAGGAACAAAGCGAAAGATCGAGATTAAGAAACGCGACACTAAACAACAACGCTCGGTGGCTTGTAGCAAACGCCGTCAAACTCTCTTCTCCAAAGCGGCTAATCTCTGTCTTCTCTCCGGAGCCAACGTCGCCGTCTTCGTTACTTCTCCGGCTGAGAACTCCGACGTTGTTTACTCCTTCTCCGGCTACTCTCCTGCTTCTGTAATTGCTGATTGTTACTTCAGCGGCAAGTCTCCTCCTAAGGTTACTAGTAACCCCCAATCCAAGCTAGGGTTTTGGTGGGAAGCTCCTGATCTCTACCGTTATTGTGACGATCTCTCTGAGTTAAACGTGATCGAAGATCGTATGATGAGAACGAAGAAGTATCTCATGGCTTTTCTTGAGAAACAAGAAAAATCACAATCTCTTTCTGATTCCGATCAAAACCCTAGCTCCTCTTCTCTCGACCAAAACCCTAATTTCTCGTCTCCATCTTGTTCCCTCGAGAAGATCTGTGACGAATCTTCTTCACAAGCTACTTGTTATACTGATGATCAAAACCCTAGATTTTGTGAGTCTTCATCATTAGATCAATCACGTTACTTGGTGGTGAAGGATGATCTCGATTTTGTTGACTCTTTATGGGAAACAGAGAGTAACTGAATGAGTCTGTTCCAAGAAACAGAGTCCATAACCAATGAGGATCAAAGCTTCTGGGACAATGTGTTTTGTCTTAACAACGACAACAACAACCTTCAGGTTCCACTTCCAGATCATTGATTAACCGAAGAAGAAGAAGAGTTGATGATCGATATCAGTGGATTTATCAATGAAGAAGAAATCAATTTCTCCCAAGTCTTAGCTTGATTGATTAAGTATCGTTAATTATGGTTTTAATCTTTCTTTTAAACTCTAACTTGATCTGTTAATTAGGGTAATTACCTTTAATTTTTGTATGTAACGATCCAAATTCATGTTGTATTGTTTTTCATCATGAAATTATATAGAAAACTTTCTTTATGGTCAATCAGAGATTTTGTCTCCTCGAAATTGTAGCCTTCTAGATGAAGCACATATAGGCCCATTAAAAGCCCAACATAACTCTTATTTGTCTCATTGCACTTTTGTTACTTTTATCTACTAATCGAATTTTTCTGATTTTTTTATTTTCATAAGCACATGATGAAAATGAAAAAAAGCAATGAGTATATAAAAAAGAAGTAAAAGAGTTACTGTATCTTCACTAATCTTTATAGACCTCAACAGAATAAAAAGAGACATAAAGTGAAGAAGCATCTGATCCTAAAGTATAGTTGTTAATGTTGAGTGGTTCACACCATAAACGTATGTTAGGTTCTCACTAAACCAGTCAGATACGTATACTTTATTTACAAGACTATCTTGTGTTTGAGCCAAACTGTTCTATTCACACATATCTTCAATTCCCTCAGCAAATTTCTCGTACACTTAGTCTAGTCCTTCCCAAGAATGACATTGTAAAGTGATTTATAAACAAGAATTAGGAAGACAAGGTTCTCTTGGTTTCTTGGTTCTCTTGGTTTCTTGAGCAACAAACAAGAATTAGGAAGACAAGGTTCTCTAGGTTTCTTGATGGAAATAGGATCGAGGTTTACAATATCCAAGAAGTTTTTAGCCATCAGCTTATCGGTACTAGCTGTGCTCTCACCGCTCTACATAGACAGTTCATCAGAAGAAGATGAAGAACCCGAAGATGAATCCTTGAGCTTTGTGTTTACGCTCTCTGTGGTTCTGCTATTGTTGATCTTGGCCATTGCTTTGTCTCTATATAGTGACCAGAGCTTGACCAGGTTTGATCCTTACTGGATTCACAGGCTTTGTGGCTCCTTTGGTGGTCTTCTTGCTATCCTCATCCTTCTTGCTTTTGTCTTGAAATGTAAAAGTTTCTGCTTAGAACCTAACACCAAGTGATTCTAGAGAACACTTCAAAACTTTCATATTTAATTTAAATCGTATAATATTATCTCATTTGAGCATATAGTATTTCGTTATTGATTGAGTATTTTTTTTATAATTTCTTTCAACATATTAGAAAATCCCACATCGGTTGGGATTGTGAATCCTTGAGTATTATATATGTAATGTGGCAACACTTCTCCCTTGAACTAGCTTTTGGGATTAGTTATGCCACATTACTAATATGGTATCACATATATACTATCTAAGAATCAATTCCACCATCGACGTGAGATATCTAATAAAACATAACTTAGTTTATGTTGACTACATAATTAATGATTTGTTTAGAGAGAACTTTGTAAGAAATTGTAACCGTGGGCTTCACGCTTTGGAGCATGATAAGAATAAGAAAAAAAAAAAACAAATCTTAAACATTAATTATTATTTTTGGCTGCACTTTAACTCATTTAATTTTGTTGACTACATATAAATGATTCTTTTTAATACAAAAGCCCAAGGATATAATATGCTTCAAATATTTGTTTTCCACACTCAAATTGCCATATCACGGGTGAATAAGTGAATTCATCTTAATAAATATAATTAAAGCTGAGATGTAACATTATAATAATATCAAAATTTGTAACAAAATCCCTCAATAACATAAGAAAATAAATAGGTCTAATAAAAAAAAAAAGATAGATATTAAATATTAAAGTTTTAACAAATAATATTTGGGATGTTCCTACCCGCCGCCGTCTCAAAGCACCGCGGCGACTCAACAACGACGGGAACACAATTACTAAAACACCCTTTCCTATGCTTCGTCGTGTGATTCTTCCGATACTGCATCGGCGTCTGAGTAGAGTCATCATCACCGCCGCTAGAAGAAGAAGAAGAGTCTCCTTCTCCTCCTCCTTGACTCATCGGCGTCACAGCCACCGTTAAAACACTCTTCACATGTTTCTTTGAGATCCCACCACGACTACATACCCGGTGACTAAGAAGATTTCTCCGGCGACGACTATAAGCGTTCTCCGGTTTCGCTAAATCCTTCACCGGAAAAGACGCCGCCTCCGCTAAGTTCATGAACGACTTCGACTTCCCTTTGTAAAATTTCGATATACTTCTCCTAAAAAATGAAGCGAATATTAAAAATTCAGACAAAACACGTTCCACGTTCGGACAAAAACAATTATAAAGATTCAGACAGAACTAAAACTCACGTGTTCCATGTTCGGTCGGAACACAAACTCTATAAAATAATCATAACACTTACTTGATTGGCAAGACTTCTTCAAGAGACTCCATCATATCAAGAGGACCTTTATAAGAAGACTCAACCTCATGATTCTCTCCACCTTCATCATCCACATCACTGTCCATCCCGATCGATTCAGAAGACGACGACGAAGACAAGAAAGCAAAATCTTGATCATCAGCCGTGAATGTTCTAGCGATCTTATTCATGATGATCCTTTAATCGATAGAAAAGGTGAAAAATCTTTGTATACATAGAGAAGAGAAGATATGGGATTGTATATATAACATATATGAGTTTCCGAAACCGTGTCTAATGTGATCTCCTTGTTTTCTCCGATAAGGAAAATAAAGGAATAAAAATCTTTGTAATTACAAAGAGAGGAGAAGATAAGTATTGTAAATATGTTTAGAACTTATCCTAAGCCAACTCACTTCTTTCTTGCTATATGGCGTTACTCATTTTACACATTTTTGGTTTCTCTATCAAAATTATTTATGCCCATTTATGGTGTCTCTTTTTTAGCCCATTACAAAACACATTTTGCTTTAGAAAGAAGTAATTTGGAGCCCTAATAGGGGTAAAAATGTAAAAATAACCGTAAAATGTATTAGTAAAAGTCAATTATAGTACTGTCCTTTTGTATATTTGTAATTTTTCTGTTTTTATTTAAATAATTAATTTGAGTTAATCTAATAAAGTTATTGACAAAAAATATATGATAAAAAGAACATTATTTTGATTTGTTTTAGCTAATTATATTTGTTCCTTTATAAATAAAACGATTAGCAAAAATTTGTTTCAAGAGTTATAGTAGAGTTTATTTTGAATGTGGTAATAAAGAGTTTACATATCTTTTCAACAGTAATATAACTAATCTTTGTAGTCTTCAATTTGTTAAGAGGCGTTCTTTCTTGGAGAATTTTACATAATATTAATTCATACGACAAGAGCAGTTATGCCTTTTCCTAAAGCCCTTAATAAACCACCGCCTAGCGACCACGGAAAGCATAAGTAGATGAGTTTTGGTTCCCACCCTCGATTTTTCATCCAATCTTCTTATCTTCTTTTCCCTGCTTTGGATCGTAATAAGTCGTTACTACTAGCAATGACTTCCTTTTTCATTACAGAATACAATAAGTCGACCGATATTTTAGCGAAACACCGAATTCAGCATGATTTTCGGTATTTGTTTTGTTTCTCATGTAATCTCGAGATTTGCTTATCTTCTAATTATTATAAATTTCTAGTTTGATGAAAATAAAAAATGAGCATAAATAATTAACCAAAAAAATCAAATAATAGTTATATTTTTAAAAACAGAAAATTTATTTTTCATTCTTTTGGTATTTGTGGCGAGATGATGCAAAAGTATTACAAGAAAGAAAAATAATAACTTTTTGTTGACCAAAAAATAAAAAAAAAAATTTGTTCAATCATTCATCGATTTTGTAATTACCAACGAGGATATATAGCACAAAGAAAATAACATATATTAAGGTTTTTATATAAAATTTTGAGCAAAAAGAAAATATAGGAATTTGGAAGGCTATAAATATGTGAGAAATATATTAATTTATTTTATTTTTTAATTATTGATGGGATTGTTTTCTACCATTTTATAGTTATGATTTGTACTTATTTATGATATTTGAATTTACTAAAACGTTATCATTTAAATATATCCTTACCCTTATCTATGGGGTCCGAAAATCTCAAAGACCTGCATATTATTAAGTATAGACTATCTTGATATAAGTATAAATAGGCTAAAGTTACATCATTCAAAAATAAATTTTAATTGACTAATGTGGACACATGAAAAATCTCAAATCATTCTCTATAATTAGCCTAATAATAATGCAAGTATCCACCAAATCATACAACACATTATCAATAGAGTTATAAAGGAGTGTAAGATATAATATATAGTTTCTCACAAACAAGTTTTTAATAATTTGAGATGAAACTAGGAGGTCTCAAGTTTATTCATAGTTCTTTTCTTTAGAAAAAAATTCCTAACGAAAGACTAAATTACGTCGAACCATCCAATTATCCAAAGAAGGAACAATGTATGATCTAAATTAATCAAAAGAAACGAAAGGATCCAATCATCTTTATTTAGGATCTTAAAAATTAGAAAAAATCAGGGATAAAAATAAGACATAAACAATTAAAGACCAATGGATGTGAATAACTAAGTCAAGATTAGTAAACCTATACTTAACCTTCTAATAAAAACTCTATTATAAGTTCTCCCTAATCGTTCCCGCCAGCTTAAACATATATAAAATCTTAGGTAGAAGAAAGGGAAAACAAAAAAAAAACACAATATTATAAATAAATAAAACCAGAAAAAAAACAAAAAAAAAACAAGAAAAAACGAAAAGCATGCCACTGTTTTTCGTTTTTTGTTGAAACAAAAAGCAAAACTTCACAAAAAGAAAGTAAAAAAAAAATAAAAAAAATCAGTTTCCATTTCTTGTTTTCACCTCTTATATAAAGAGTTTGAATTGTTTTTTTTTTACTACAAAACATAAGTTTGAAATCATGGGTAATGAAAGAAGAGGAAATGTTGCGACGACTAGGGCCATTTTGTTGTGTCTCTATGGAATCATAAGCATTGTGAGTGTGAATGGTACATTCATAAACTACAAAGAAGCCTTAACCAAATCCCTTATCTTCTTGGAGGCTCAAAGATCAGGCAAGCTCCCTCCTAACAATAGGGTTAAATGGAGAGGTGACTCGGCTCTCGACGATGGCAAACTCGCAAATGTAAGTTTTGGGTTCGTTATATTTATTATCAAATGATAGTTTGGTTACAAGAAATATAATGAGATAATTTTGTTTGTCTAGGTGGATTTGTCCGGAGGGTACTATGACGCAGGAGACAATGTTAAGTATGGTCTTCCAATGGCGTTTACGATCACAACGCTGGCTTGGTCCACCATTGCCTACGAGAAAGAACTACGAGCCACGGGAGAGCTCGAAAACGCTCGTGCCGCTATCCGTTGGGGCACGGATTATTTCATCAAATGTTCTTGTCGTAAAAACCGCCTCTATGTTCAGGTTTCAATCTAATATAATCTATCTTAACATTTTTGAAGATGTTATGCATTCATAATCAATTTGGTATTTTGCAATTACATCATCAACATAATATAGGTTGGAAAATCCTATATATATGTAATTTGGTATTTTGCAATTACATCATCAAGAAAGATGAATGTACAATCTTATTAAGTGAAAATGGTTTTGCTTATGAATATGATCATATAGGTTGGTGATCCAAACGCGGACCACCAGTGTTGGGCGAGGCCCGAGAACATGCAAACGCCAAGGACGGTGTTGGAGATAAGCGATAAAAATCCTGGAACAGAAATCGCGGCCGAAACCGCAGCTGCATTCGCCGCTTCTTCCATCGTTTTCCGCCATGTCGACCACAAATATTCCCGCAGGCTCCTCAACAAAGCCAAATTGGTAAACCTATTAAGTTAGCAAATTTTTTTTACATAAACATTTTGTTAATTTTCAAAATAAAAACTATTTTTTTAGACTCTCTTTATATAAAAAAAAAGTAAAGACTTGATCAATATCTTACAATTTCAGCTTTTCAAGCTAGCCAAAAGCCACAAGGGTACATACGATGGAGAATGCCCCTTCTATTGTTCTAACTCCGGTTACAATGTAAAATATCATCTCTAACTTCTATCTCATATTATCAAAACTCACATATCTTGTAATTGATTTTGACAAATAATTTGAAGGATGAGTTGATATGGGCGGCAACATGGCTATACAAGGCCACAAGGAAGGAAATGTACCTTAGCTACCTCAAATTCGAAGCCATTAGTGCTTATGTTGCTGAGTTCAGCTGGGACCTTAAGTATGCTGGTGCACAGATCCTCATCGTCAGGGTAATAACACACACACACACACACACATATATATCCAAAGTTTTGTCTTACTTTTTTTCCCGGTCCAAATCGATTTATTTATGGAATATATGTAAATGCAGTGGATCTTTGAAGGTACAAAAGGACTTGACCTATACAAACAACAAGCTGATAGTTTTATCTGTTCTAATCTCCCTGACAGTCCTTACCACCAAGTCTTCACTACCCCAGGTCTTGTGTCTCCATGCATTAACATAACATATATATATTTGTAACACTTGATATTGAGATTGATTCAAAATATTTTAGGTGGTATGATTCACTTGAGAGATGGAGCCAACAGTCAATATGTCACCTCCACGGCATTCTTGTTCTCAGCCTACGCTGATATACTTAAGCATCACAACCAAAAGATCACTTGCGGAAGCAAACAATTCGATTCAACACACCTCATGGCTTTTGCTAAGAAACAGGTCGCTATAATCATACACAAAGAACACATTGTGACATATAACGTGTTCGAATATAAAACCTAATCTATTTGTATTCACGTCACAGATGGACTACTTACTAGGACATAACCCAAGAGGAAGATCATACATGGTTGGGTTCGGACCAAACCCACCAAAGCAAGCCCATCACAGAGGAGCATCAGTTCCCATGCATGAAGCCAACGCACCGCTAAGTTGCCCAATGAGCTTCGTGCAATGGTACAACAAGAACCAGCCTAACGCTAACGAGCTTACCGGAGCTATCTTGGGAGGACCTGACCGTCAAGACAACTTCCAAGATTTGCGATGGACCTCAGTGTACACTGAGCCTTGTACTTACATCAACTCTATCGCTGTTGGTGTTCTCGCCAAACTCGCTGCCAAGGCTTAGAGCCATTTAATAATACCACATTCGAGACCACTTTGATCAAAGTATTATTCTAGGGTATCTCTTACCTAATATAATTGCATATACACCAACGTGCATGTGGACATGCAATGTAATTTTATTATTTTTCCGTTTGTTTTGCTTTTGTAGGTAGCTTTTTGGAATCATATGTTTTTCTCCAATATATAAAATTGCATGGGGTATAAGAATAAGCCCTTAATGATTTGAACAATAATTAAGTGAAATTAATGAATAGCCGGAATGATAAAAACTCATTCCGTTTCACGTAGATTATTGTAATTTTCCTAATTTCTAACATATATACTCCGTCTGTTTTATTTTAAATGATGTTTTAACCAATTTTTTTTTATTTTATTATAAGTGATGTTTTTAATTGTCTATGCAAAAACTCTTTTACCTTCTTTCTTTAATTGGACAACATATAATTCGTTTACTTCGTGATAAATGATTGGATTAATATACTTTTGTGAACAAATTTTATATTTTAAAACCAAGTGGTTGTGGTCGTGGTTTCCTCTTGAAAATGAGTTGCCATGTATGTCTAAATCATGGATCAGTTTCTTTTCCGTAGCAACCACTTTGTA